GGGGTGGGGGTAGGGAAGGGGTAGAAGGGGTCAATGGGGGGAAAAAAGGGAACATCTGTAATTCTTTCAACAATAAAGATAAATTTTTTAAAAATTCCAAAATCAAGTACAGCATATCAGTAATGTGACATTCATTACATCTGGAAAAACTGGATAATTGCAACAAAAATTAGTGTTGGAACTGGCAGGACGGTGTTCATCATAGAGGTCAAAGTTTCATAAATTATTCCAATAACAAAGGGAGATTAGCTGGGCCAGCCTGGTGTTGAGGAAAGATGAGTGGACCAGAGGTCAGGAAGCTGGATTCAGTCCTGGCTCTGCTTTAACTAGGTCCTCAAATCTAAGCAAGCCTCTTAACTCCCAGGAGTTCAGTTTCCTCACCTGTGAAATGAGGAAGTTGCATGAGATCATCGTAGGGTTCTGTCCAGCTCAAACATTCTCAGATTGTCTGAGGAACAATAAACTTGGGCTCACAGGAGAGTCAGTCCCCACATGAGCCACACTGATTGGAGTGCCTGATCGCCAGTCCTTTCTCTGGATGGGTCAAGTGTGCCTATCTACCAGCAGCGAAATAAAGGGGAGTGAGTAGACTCGCCCTCCCCGTCCCAGGCCAAAGCTGGAACAGGCACTAAGAGCATATGTGCGCACACACACCGTGGCAAAGCTGAGCACAGGGATCTTTGAGCCTTATTTTACCATCAAAAGTACAAGGTGAACTGCAAAATTAACACTATAAAGTTCTTTTGAGATATCATGTGTCAAATTATTTTAATATTTACTGCCTAGGGTCATCTCTGCAAGAACAGATTTAATCTGAAAGGATTTAGATGAACTGATCAGAGCAATTTCAGAAAGTGTGGGTTAGCTGTTGCAATGGATTATCACTGGGGGGGATCTGTGAAATCTCCCTCTGTGTAACTTCAAAAGTAGGAGATTTTTTGTGGTTTAGGGTCTTTCTTAGAGGTGGAGAGAGACTTAATAATAATTTTTTGATAGCTCTTTCTGGATTTCTCTCTTTGGCTCTTTTGTTCATGAGGGAGGGAGAAGTCCTCCACTTCTGGGCAGGATTCAAATGAGGCCAGAGAGACCTGGTCTGGTTGGCTCAGTGTGTGGATGTGCTCACTCATAGCCCAAGGGCTTGAATTTTATTCTTTAAGAGCCAGCCATTTGATCCTGCAGTTTAGCCAGAGAAACAGGTCATAATTACCTTGCCAGTGAACCCTTTTGCACCAGGAGATGAAAGAGATGACCACAAATGCTCCAACCAAGAAAACAGGGCCTCCTAGCTCCCACAGATTCACCAACAATGCAGATAAAACAAAAATGTTCAGGATCAAAGTACATCTCATTGTGCTGAGAACTGACACTTGGCTTTGTTCGGCCTGGGGTACATGCCCCCTCCTCATTTTCACAGAATGTGAAGTAATTTTAAGGTGACACCCTGCAAGGCTCTGGCAAAGGAGAACACTCACCGAGTTGTAGTAAACCACACCATCTGGGGCTGCCCGCCGGTGCCGAGTACCGCAGCCATTCAGGGGAGACTCCAAAATGAAGTGGGTGCCATTCATCTTGGCCTTGCAGTTAGGATCCAACAGGGTGAGCTCTATCCCTGAGTAGCTGTTGGCCTGAAACAACCACCACCAAAGACATAAAGGGGGGCCCACAGGCAGCTCTGCAGCACACAGTTAAGTTTGCCTGGTCTTCCAAGTAAAGGTTGCCCGAGGCCTGTGGTCCCCCTTCCCCTTCCCCACCACCTGTCAAACAGGACCGTGTTTGCTGGCCGTGGAAATCCAACAGCAATAGGATTGACACACAAGGATCTGGAACCCCCTTACTGAGAACACCAGAAACCGGGTGAGAATCGCAGCCGAGGGGAAGTGAGCCCATCCAACTGAGAAAACAGTATCAAGTCTCTGGAGTCCAAAAGTAAAAGAGCGGGAGAGAGACAGCTAACACATACGGGGTGGGGCAAGATGGAGAGGGAAATGGCCTTTCCTCTCCTTCAAGGAACTGCACTGACCTGAAAAGAATCTTTTTCTACAGCCACAGTCATCTTTTCGTTGTCGCATTTGACTGACAGGGCGACATCCATGCTTCCCTGCACCTCCTCAGGCTCTCTGGGACCAGGAAACAGTCGTAAGCTGGGGATGACGGGGTCCTTTGGGTGGGGGAGCCCATCTTCTCTCCCTTCCTTCTGGCCTTTCCTGGGGATATCCAGGAAAGGAAAAGGGAAACCTCCATTCCGGCCTCCCCCTCCCCGGATGGGTGGGTTGTCCAGGGTGCCAGGGTCCAGCAGGATCCGCAGCTCAGGCGGGATGGTGTGGACCTCTTCATCTCTCATCTCCTCTGGTGGGGACAGAAGCAAGCAAAACATCGTCAGTGTCTGATGCCAGGCCACAGCCATTGTTAGGGGTGAGAACAGGAAGAATTAGCATGGAATGAGCGTGTGTAAAATTACTCTTAACAAGTAATGTATGGAGATGAGTGGACTGGAAGCCTGAATTTTAGTCCTGGTGTTCTTTCTAACTAAGTAGCTCTGGGCCAATGGCTTACTTCTCTGTGCCTTGGTTCCCCAAGTTCTAAAATTAAGAGATTTAATGGTGAGATCAAGTAGTTCTCAAAATTGGGTGCCCATTAAAATCACTTTGGAAGTGTTAAAAATAAAATCTCTATGCCCAGGCTGCACCCAAGGCCTATTAAAAATCAGATTCTCTGGAGCAGTACCTAATTGTTGATATGTTTTAAAGTTCGCCCACGTGATTCCAATGTACAGCCAAGGTTGAGAGCCATGGGGTTAGATGATTTCTAAAGCCCTACAAGCCATAAAAATCTATGATTTGAATAAGTTATGTGGGACAATATTAGTTTATTCAATATACCATGAAATACTTCCCTTGAGTCTAGAAATTCTTTAGAAGAGTTTCTCTAAAGATTTTTAGACTCCTTTTTGACTGCTAAATTCTAATAGGTATCTGGGCACCGTAGCCTTTTAGAACCTAAACCCAAATGACAAAAGAAAAAGCTGCTTAGTTTTGTTTTGTTTTGTTTTCTAAAAAAGGTGCTTAGCTACTTATTCCTCCAAAGGGAGATACACATTCCCATTCAATCAGTTCTGTTTTTTCATATTGTGAGCAATGCAGAGAAAAAAACGCTTCCCCCACTATTCTCTGCAACCATTCTCCGAAGCCAACTGGTGTGTGCTTGGGGTGAATCCACCTCAGTGGGGGCTGGGAGGGAAGGTGGCCAGCAGGCATGAGCTCTCCTCCAATACTATCTTTCTGAAAAAGGTAGTGCAGCTGTATGGTCCAAAATGAGTCAGAGCTTTGGAGGGCTTTTTAATTTTTACTTGGACAAAAACCTTCACGACCCTGGGAGGTAGCAATATTGTTCCCCCATATTACCGAGGAAGGACCATCTGACGAGGAACCACCTGAGGCTCAGGGGTTAAGCAACTTCCCCCCTCAAACCGTGAATAAGTGGCAGAGCTGGGACTTGAACCTGTACTCAGGACCTTCATTCTACTGGCCCTGCACTCAGTAGTGGTACACTGCGTGAGGAACAGATCTGGGATCAGAAAACCTGATGTTTGAGTCCCTCTAGCTATAAGACTCCGGAAAACCTCAGGAACTTGTTAAGCCTCTGCTTTCTGCTCCGTCAAACTGGGGTAATAACTGCTGCGTTCCCTCTGGGTGAGAGTGAAAAAGCACACGTATGAGTCCTCATGACTGTTTTCACAGAAGATACAGCCTGACCTAACACTTCTCTCCTGCAGGCTCAGCCCCGGTGCATCTCAGCTGTCAGCGATTATTAGGTACCTCTGAGAGAGGAAGCCAGGCTACGGTACCCCTAATGTAACCACAGTGAAGGTGATCTCTAACAAAGTTCTCCAGCATGCAACCAACTCGGTTACTAAAAAACAAAACAAAACTGTATTAAAGATCGTTTCCTCAAAATTACCTACAATTCTAGATAACTTGAAGCTTTATAGTAAAAAGTAGCCAAATCAACCATTAAAATTTGCAACAGACGAACAGGAGCATGTAAGCTGAAATGAGAGTTCCTCATTGGAGAGCTACACTTGAGGAATAATTTTAATAGTTTTTAAAAAATCATACTTACCATTGTTTTCAAGCCGAAGATGAAATCTATTAGCCACAGGAGCCACTGTGTATGAGGTCACTGGACTGCAGCCGTTGTCCAAAGCCCACCTGACCAGATTCTCTTGGGTTGAAGGAATGTCATCTCTTATTGATTTGGTCATTACCATGGATCTTTCACTCTCTTTCCCAAAGCCAATACTGTTAGGAGCCTGAAGATAGCAAAATTTCACTTATGAGTCTAAACAATGATTTTAATAAGAATAATTAAATATCTGAAACAAACAGATTCTACAGTATATATAAAGAAATTACTTATTCTTTTAATCCCTATTTTCCTTGGACTAAGAACACTGATGTAAAAATATATATATATTTTTAATCCTCACCTGAGGATATGTTTATTGATTTACAGTGAAGAAGGGTGAGAGGGAGAGAGAGAGAGAAACATTGATCAGAAAGAGACACGTCGATTGGTTGCCTCCTGCACATGCCCCAACTGGGGCCAAGGATCAAACCTGCAACCTAGGTACACGCCCTTGACTGGGAATTGAACCCGAGACCCCTTGGTGGGTAGACTGACGCTCTAACCACTGAACCACACTGGCCAGGGCTATTCATGCTCTTTGATCATAGCATTTGGGTTGCTTATATTGATAAAAATCCAATGACAGCTAAGTAACTACATACTAACTGCAGAGTTAGTTTAATGTTTAAATTATTAACATACACATACCAAATATGTATGTATACCAAACTTAAAATTATGTACAAAGTACACAGATGTGTATGTTATATTGTCAAAAAAGAAAATCCTGTTTCTACTTCCTGTACCCTAGATTTAAATGAAAGAAGGCACAACCTAGTTACTTCAGTAGTAACTAGGAGACTGTATCATCTTTGTAAACTATTACATTCATATGGTGAAACAACCAATGTTTATATTTCATTTACAATTTTATGATCTATTTAGCAATCCTGTAATTGCATTCATCTGCCAATTCTAATAACTGAATAAGCTTAGATTTTATGTTCTAAATATTAGTTAATTTAGGTTACTGTGCCTCTAAGTCAATATTTTATTCAGCAACACAAATCGGTCTTAAAACTGGCTTTCACTTGGAAATCAGTTACAAAATTAAAACTGAATGACAGAAATCTTTCCGAGAAAGGATCTAAAAGGACTCTGAGTACCCAGGACATGGAGGGTAATTTTCCACATCACCTTCTGACTCCTACAGCAGTGATTCTGTCAGAGATGAGGGAGCTGAATGCGGCAGAGAGGACCTCAAAGGGAAGGCACCACATTTCCAACAACTGCTCCACTGGGCTGGAAGCCCTTCTAGCATGCAGATTAGGGCATTTCCATGCTGTATAAAAATCACTTTAATTTCCATTCCCAATTCTTTTCTCCTGCATACATGCAGCATTTTCCCTAAATTCCCCATTTGTTTCCCACTCTGTTTGCCCCTAACATGACTAAATATTAATCCTTTCCCACTGTAAAACCATAGAGGATTCACAGGCTCTAAGTTCTCTTGGCCTCTTTGGTTGTGGGAGATTGGCTAAGGGCACATTTTCAATTCAAAGCTTAAAGGAGCTCACCCAAGATGCTTTTCTATTACCCAAGGTGCTTATCTGAGACAAAACTGACACACTGGGCAGTCACAGTCACGTGTGCAAAGGAACTAGACAGCTTCAGCCCAGATCTGTGGCCATTTGCAAAAAAAAACACAACACACAAAAAACTCAGCTTCATAGGTGTGGAATATTCTAGCTCTCACTCCAATTCAAAGAAAACTCCTCAGGGGAAGGAAGGGTTAAACATAGAAAGAAAACTAAAACGAGGTAAAGAAGGATCCAATTTTTCTTATAACTTTTTATTCATTTAGTCAACAGCAGTGTCTTAAGCACAGCTTCTTCCCAGCCTTTCAAAGCAGCGTGTCGTTTTGATTGGCTGGAGTTGTAACTCGGCCTAAACACGACTGCTTGGCCTCATCTGCCCTAGTCTTTCATGCTGTTGGACAGCTGAGAAAATACTGTATTTCCAGAATACTATTATCATAACCGCCACCTGTCCTTTCTGTACCCAGATGGAGTGATTTGTTTACACCTTTCCACATGAAATCTGGGAGCTGTCAGTACAGCTCACATTGATTACGCCTTGGGATTTACAAGGCTACAAATCTATCTACACGTTTGTAAAGCAGCGAGGCTTGAGTCAATGGCAGGCAAGCTGGTTGTCAGCAATGAGTGAATTTCTCACCCTGTATTTCTGGGAGTCCCCAGGTTTTTCCAAAGCCTCCATGTAGCTGCTCCAAATAGGAGCGTTCAAGGGTGTCTCCAAACAGCACTGCCATCTTTCCCATCCACGTCTTCACAAAGGATGGTGAGCTAGGTAAAATCTGAGTGCCTCTGTCTCCTCCCTCACTACCCAACACACACTTACATCAGAACTGCTGGGCTCGGGGAGGGGCTTGAGGAAGGGCTGGGCAGAGAGTATATAGTGCATATTCTAAAACAATGTCTAAGAACAAACTGGCCATTGCCAACCTTAAAGTCCTGAGGCCATGAAATGTTACAACAATAAATTTCTAACACGTTTCCTTCATCAATTCTTTTATGTTTTGGAGGTTCTCCCGAAATGTGATTATGCACGGTCCAAAGAAAAAGCCAGAGCTCGGCATGGCAATGCAGATACTTCTGGTATTCCCATTCCTGCTCACAGCACAAACCTTTGCATCTCTTTGGACCACTGTGTCATTTGGAAGGTTCATTCTGCTCACACCCCACCCTTCACACACACGCACACACACACACACACACTCTCATGTATAATGGGGCTCTTCTTTAAATTACCCCATTAAGTTCCTTACAAATCCTTCAGATAATGTTCTATGTTTTCACTTTGTTTAGAGAAGTTAATCGCTTCTACAGACAAACTTTTTAAGAGTTGCTTATGGAAGAAAGATGAACTCCCTTTGTATGGCACACACGCCCCGTGCTAGGAGCTAACCTGTGTTCTCCTCTAAAATATAAGGAGACGGGCATTACTATCTGTGTCAGAGGAGCGGAGCCCGAGGCTCACAGAAGCTGAGAGGCACTAGCTGAGAGCTCGCCGTGTGCAGGCAGTGTGTCAAGTGCTTTGGATGAAACACCCAGGAGGCACTTAACGGATACCTGCTAAATGAATAAATGCACAAATGAACAAACTCCCTTACACCTCACGATTAGTCTCAAGATGAGTACTATCATCATGCCCATTTCACAGCTAAGGAAAGAGACTCAGAGTTCAACTGGCTTACCCAATCCCAACTGGGAGTAATGACAACTGGAGATGGAATTTGAATCCAGCCCTGTCTGGCCCCAAAGCCAGGATTCTTTCCACTCTCCCATACGTCTTTAAAGGACATACTAGAAACAAGGTCACTATAAACCATGTCCCTCTTACTAAGCAAGAATTTATGCCTTTTTATTAGTAGGTGACTTTCCCTCACAGCACAATCAGAATTCACATCTGAGACAGGGAGTTAGGAAATCACAACGTATGAAACTGATTGGGGGAATAAAAAAGAACATCATGAAACATTACCTAATTGTTTAGTAATGCTGTCATGCATTGTCCAAAATTGGCCTGGAATGGAGTACAGCCAAGGAGAGAAATATAAACAGATCTTACACTGGGATGAGCAATCTCATTTCTAGCCTTTCTGATTCACAGGAGAAGTGGAGACATTCAGAGCGAACACCAGGACTGCCATGGACCAGGCACATTTACTCAGGGGGAGAAGGAGCCACTGAAAGGGTCAGGGCTGAGAGAACATTTACACAAGAACTCCAGCAGGGAATTAAAAATGTACCGTATGTTTTTGTGTTTCAGAGCATGATTCCCTTTCCTGTTGTTGTTATTCTGAAATTAAAAACATTTGATTGGTGTGCCAGGCAGCAAAGGCTGCAGACACCTCAGGTCACCAACATCGCTCACGCCATGCCAGGGAAGGCCATCGAGACAGTTCTGACTTCACAGAATCACGGCTGGGCCTTGCGCTCAACACCAAATTAATGGTATCATCATTACACATGATGGCTTACTGGGATCCTCTCAAAGTTTAAAAAACACACAAAACCACAGGAACCAGAAACGATTACTTTAAATTAAGATGTGTGTGCTCGTGGCTTTGCCTGCTGCCCCTGGTGAGTGCCTGTACATGACGTTGCCTAGGGGACCGCTGGCTTTGCTCTCTGCTGTCACACGAAGGTGCCACAAATGAGTAATACCAAAACCAAAGGCATCCCTCTCCCAAAACACTGAAAACATAAAACCCCCTCCAATGGATTCAATGCAGGTACAGAAGAGGAAATGGCCACAATTTTTTTAAAAAGACAATGCATAAAAATTTGAGCCTACAAAAGAGATGCTAAAGAGGTAATTAATCTTCTTAAAAATCAGAAGGGGGATTTTTCTTGAACTTTCGTTATGATTTGCTCCAATATTCTGTAAAGTTATCTCTCTAAACATATTTGAAAAAATTTGTTTTACCAAATTTCAACATTCAACTTTTCAAGAACTAGCTGCTATTTGCCTATCAGGCCAATCAGCTAAACCCCTTCAGTAGATTTCCTTCACGAAACATAATGCTTAGGCAACAGGTTGAGGGTGGGGTTTCTCTAGAGCCATCCCTTATGTAATAACGTCTCCATTATTGGTGAATCTATTATTGGTATTTTGCCCTCAGAAGTTAGAAAGGCAGGCCAATATCATGTGTTTATCTCAAAAGTCGAGAGAGTGGGTCTTACAGGACTCAATCATGTCTTATGATTGTGTCCATTATTTTATACTAACCATGCTGAAAAGTACACTAATACATTTCAGGAATGTCACAAATAAGACAAATGAGGTCCACAGAGGCTAAGGGAATTGCCCAAGGTCACAGTTTGTAAATGGCAGAGTCTGGACTCAAATCTGGGTCTGTCTTGACCCCAGGGGCCATAATCTTAACCAACACACTATTCGCCCTTGTCGAAAGAAGCCAAGGAACAGGCTATTTTACAAAGTGGAAAATTGCTGAGAGAGCTCAGAGAGAGTTCAAAGAGGCAGAAACCTGACAATAACAACACATATAAACATGGCTTAAATGATTGCCAGTCATCAAAACGAAGAAATGCTCAACCGACTTACAATAACTTTCAGGTTTCCCTTAATATCGAAGGATTTGATCACCCAGTTGACAGACTTTTTGCACTTTAAGATCAAGATGAGATTTTTGACCACCTCAGGATCCTTTCGAGAAGGTCTTATGTCAATTATTATATCCACCTGGAAAGCACTGTGAATGGAAAACAAAGGCAGAGTTAGGACCCAAATGCCAGAAAGTTGCAACTATCTCCCCTCTTCCAAGTCTTCATGTTTCCAGTGTCTGGCCAGTTGATTAAAAAGCTGGAGTTGATCCCAGGCAAATGACATGTGCAAAACAGATTGTTAGTGCACACACAACAAAATGGCCTTACATAACAACAGAAAAATATGCCTGCTCATAATTAGTCACTAAAATTTTTCTCCTCTTAAAAAAAAAAGGGTGGTTAATGCAGCCACTGTTTGAAATGGACTTGAATAAACGAACAGTTTACTTTTGAAGCAAAATCATTGCCTTTTCAACCTTCGACACCTTCAGCACTTCCATGTGTAACTTTCCATAATGTTGTATGTTCAAAAATCCTTCAAAACAAGAAGAGGGCCACAGTTTGGTGAGTGGGGGAGGGAGGCATGGCAGTAAAACAATAGGAAACTTCAGAGTAAGAGGGAAAAGGATGGAGAATTCCTTGACTTATATAAGGTTTGCTTAAGCCATTAACATCTGCTACAGAATCCTATCTGCACTGGCTTTCTCAAACTTCTGCATATATACTTATCGAAATCAAGAAAACAGATGGTCAACCAAGTGATTACTGGAAAATTGGTGAACACAACCCAAACTTTTAAGAATTCAGTATAAAAGAGAATTTTTACCAAACAATAACATCTCTGTCATTCTGAATTTAAAGGCAAGTCTTTCTTTCCATCTTGGTTTTACACACTTGTAAAGTATAAAATGAATGATATGAATGAAGCCTTAGGCTTACTGTCTCAGTGCTTTTGCCAGGTTGCTTCTGTTCTCATTCCCCTTTAATTTCTTGCAAGATCCTTCACGTGAGACAGGACGAAATCTTACCAAAATGGATCTGTAGTTTATTCGTTTTTGAAATAAAAATTTGATTAGAACTTTAACTTCGACATCCCTCTACAATGTAAATTTATATTTTTAAGTCATTAGCCCACATGAAATGCAGGCTAACGTGGAAGAAGAGCCAACTTTTCCCCTTTTTATTTCTTTTCTTTAAGTCCTCTATTCATTCTCGATAGGGAGGGTTACATTTCCAGTCCTGGCTCAGAAAGCTGCGATGGGAGAGGGGGGAGAATGCAAGGGAGAGGCAAGTTACATCTAACGGCTGTTTGGTGTGTCCCTAAGAAGGGCCACCCCCAACATTCCACACACACACACACACACACACACACAGAGCTTGGAAGCAAGCAGTTACGAGTGCAAAGTGCTCTGATGACACTGGGAACAGAAGTTTATAAAAACAGAATGTTATTCAAATAAGAATTATGTTGATAACACATTTCGCAATTTTCTTATCAGGGATAACCTCATAGGAAACAATGATGGAGCAAGAATAACTGTATCCTATTAATTAGTACCAAGAAGTTCAGAACAGGCGTCGGAGCTCAACTGGAATACAGAGGATCTAGAGACGCATGCAGAAAATAAAATGTACTGCTGGAGCCTTTACTCCCTTCTTCAAAGCTTCTGTGAACCTCACGCAAAGCATCGTGGCTCCCTCCCTCTTGCACAGGTTGGGCTGCACCTCTCCCCGCCTTGAGTCGGGAAAGGTCTTTATTTCCATCTCATCTCAGTTCAGAACACACACTCACGCACCTGTAGGGGTTGGAGCTGGGGGTGATTAACTCAATGATGTGCACTTCTTTATCCTGGGGCTGGCTGGACATCACGCACCCTTCTGCGGCTTTGGGCTGAAGGTACTCAGCAAGATAATTGAGCGACAGGAAATTCTTCCCGATGTTGCATGTGGGAGGGAACACTTGATCTGAAAGTAAAGAAGCGCAGGACAACCTGTCAAACCGCTGATCTCCAAGGTAACCAGGCTCAAGGAAAGAAGGTGACAGTGGCACTGAGCAAGGGCAGGATGTAAGAACCATGAGTGCTGAGGAAAGGCCTTAGATCTCGTCAACCTCTGGCCTGAAATGCCTCCCCTCTGGTCACCAGTGATGTCCTAGTGGTCAACTCTAGTGGCCCCTTTTGGCCTAAATTCCCTCCTTTCCTGTTCTCTGTGATAACTTCTCAGTCCTCATCAATTTCCTCTAACTTGTCTTTCCATCTCTTTCACTGGCTCCTCCTCCTCTGCTCATCCTTTATTCTTATTTACTTTTTAAAATATGTCTTTATTGACTTCAGAGAGAGGAAGGGAGAGGGGGAGAGAGAGAGAGAAACATCAACGATGAGAGTCATTGATCAGCTGCCTCCTCCATGCGCCCTATTGGGGATCGAGCCTGCAACCCGGGCATGTGCCCTGACCGGGAATCGAACCCCGATCGCCTGGGTCCCAGGTCGATGCTCAGCCGCTGAGCCACGCCAGCCGGGCTTCTGCTCATCCTTTAAACACCAGTGATCCTCGATCTTTGGTGCACATCAGAATCCACCATCCCAGAGAGACTGATTCAGAAGACCTAGGGGAGCCTAGGAAGCTTTCTTTGTCAAAAGCTCCATCGTTGATCCTGATAGAAAACCAAGGCTAAGAATCTCACTTCTTTCCTCAACCTTTTGTCTCATAGTCTTCCTAGATGATCTCAATCACTCCCATAGCTTCCACATGTACCTAGATCATGCCTTTTCTGAGCTGCAGACCTGTATTGTCATCTGTCTACCAAGCACCTCTCACCTAAAAATCTACTAAATATCTCACAGTGAGCATACTCAACACTGTATCCAATTATCTATCCTACCCCCAGGTAAGCTTCTCCTTGGATATTTGCTATTTCAATTAATAAGAGGACCAGCTACCCAATTAACCCTCTGGCCCACCATGTATAATTAATTGTTCCCTCTTATTTATTCCTCACAGCACTTTATACTCTCAAGACCAAAGGCAGGAGCTTGGGGAATGCAGTAAGGGCACTTCCCACAATCCTGACACAGGTGACTAACGTTTCTGTGGCACTGCACAGTTTACAAGGCGCTTTCACAAACACTGTCTCACTGTGCCGAGGGCTGCTCATCAACTCCACCAGGGAAAGTGATGCACACACCAAGAGCTGAAGACACTCCCCCAACGGCACACGCCGTTTGCACAGCACCGTGGCTGATGGGATTTCCATTCAGCGGTCTAAATGTTTAAACAGAAGTTGAAGCTGCTGGCAGTGTGACAGCTGGGACCAATGTCAAGGAAGTTCTAGGTGTAGCAAGCTCTTTTCAGAAGGGGTAATTAATCAGAGCCCTGGCACTTTAATGAAACACACTTCTGCCCTTTTCATTTAATGGACTCGGATGCCAGGGTTCAAATTCACACGCAAGTCTCATTGAGGAGTGAGCCACCAGCCCAGGAGGCCCCAAGGTTGGGTTGGTCTTTCCCTCCCCAACCCCTGCTGAACATGTGCAACCTCCCTCGTGCAGAAGTCCACAGCATGCAGTGTGGAAATGGGGCTCCACGCACCATGGCATCCCCAGAGCCATCCCTAGAACAGAGGGGACCAGAGGAGCTCATGAGGCCCCCGCTTGCAGGCTCGTTCCAAGAGCCCTAGCTCTGCACTCTGCTTTCTTCCCTAACAACCCCCTCAGAGGGAAGAGGCCAGGACTCCGCCAACTCAGGCTGCTGGAGCAGCCTCCCGCCACATCTGCCGAGGGCTTTGCCAGATGAGCAGATGAGGAATGCACACCCTGCAGCTGCGGCCCCACGGATGCCTCCCCCAGATCACAGGACAGAAAATGATCCTGGGGTGGCAAGGCTGAAACTTCATTAAGAAGCAGAGGGTGCGTGGATGGGCCAGGGACTGGCAAGTCTCAACTCAAGAAACTAGGACCCTCCTGGTACTTCAGCCTGTATATTTAGTTCCCAGGGGCACTTGGTATAGTAGCTCCACAGTATAGGTTTCCTGAATTAAAAAACAGGGATGTGAGATTTGAAACAACTAACAAAGCACTCGCCCACCTTGTGACCTTTGTAAGCCACCAGTAAAGCTTTAATTGTTTAAAAGTTGCTGTTATTAAGGGCTCAAGTCTCAGATGCCATTGTCACTAAGTTGAATAAGCGGATCACTCTTTGTTGTGTCCTCATGCGTGTGTGTGTGTGTGTGTGTGTGTGTGGTTTTTCCCCCCAAACGACCTTCTGCATGCCTGGCATAAAAACTTGCACCAACTGCCAAGTAGAAAGGAAACCACAAAGGGGAATCCCCGGGCAGAAACCTGGCATGTTTGGGGTGGGGGGAGGGGGAGCCACATGCTTATTTGTATTTCAGGAAAAGACTGACAAATGACTTTGAGACCTTGAATGATACACTCTGAAAGCCTGGGAGGTGATGCAAACTCCTCATTTCCCTGCTGCGGAAACTGAGGCCCCAGTGGTAAATCAAAGTGTTGCCTGAAGCTTCACAGTTAATGAGACCAGCTGGGATAAGAAGCGAACCCTCCCCAGTTCTTCCACTCCAGGTGTACTGGTTAGAGCAGCAGTTCTCAGACACTAGCAAGCATGAGAATCATCTACAGTGCTCCTTAAACACAGATGACTGGACCCCACCCCCCGAGTTTCTGATTTAGTGGTTCTGGGGTGGGCCCCAGAACTGGTATTTCTAACAAGTTCCCAAGTGATGAGGATGCTGTGGGGCAGGGGCCACACTTTGAGAATTACTGGGGACAGAGCAAGAGGAGGCCTGGGGTCCCTGGGTTGAGGGTAGAGAAAGGTCAGTTTCTGGGAAGCGAGAAGATGAACCTTGCTCAGTGGAGTCAAATCCATGGTGATACACAACATCGCCTTGTGGCCCATTGGCAGACCTAACCCAGGACTCTCATTTCCTTTAGCTGTTCCTCTCCACAGTGTGGGTCAATGACATTGCCCAACTGATGGCTGGAGTCAAGTTTCAGGTGTTCCAAGGGTGTTACCAAGGAGTAAATCAGTTTTTACTGGACTGGACACCATGTCCTTTAAGTTCTTCCCCAACCCAACGTGTGGCCTTGGGGAAGTCACCGAATCTCCCACTCTAAGGGCAGGTAATGGCTGTGCACAGAAGCTTGTGCACCGTTGAGAAAACAGAGCCTGGCATTCTAAAGGTTACTATAACACATTTTCTCATTCTAAGAAATTCCAAGGGGGGTCATCAACATTCTTTCACGCTGTTAGAAATCTGTTTCAGAAATGCAGAGCATTGGCCAGGGCTTAGGGCCTTTGTTAAAAGAGATTTTTTTATTTTGTTCCAAATGGGCTTGACTTCTACTATTAGCTACCTGACTACCATGATAGTTTAATAACAAACTTCAACTTTTTATACCAAATTCTCATCTAAAACTCCTCCTCGCTTTACTCTGCTGAACAAGTCTTCCCATCCGGGTGGCCCACTTTCATTTGCAGGCTGTGCTTATCCGGGTAAGACTCAAAACATGGCATCGGGCAACAAGCCGTGTTCCAGACTCAAGAATCAGGAAACCTGGGTTTGAGTTCCGGCTTTGCCACTTGCTAATCATATGGAGTTGAGAAAGTCAGCTTGACGCTCCACTAACCCCTCTGTAAAATAACGGAAATAATGGTCTCCTCCCAGGATTCCTGGCGGGGTTAGGTGGGTGGGTACATGTGAAAGCACCTGCTGTGGCCTCTGCACACAGCACACACTTGACATCAGTGTCCACCTTTCTTGCATCTGTCAAACAGCCCAGATTCAAAAAGGGCTGGGCACAAGCCCTCAGTAACCCGCCCCGTGGTGCCCTGCTGTCTGCAGAGAAGGTGACAGCCGCTGTAAATCCAACAGAAAACAGATGGACATGAAGACCTGAAGTGCAGTTTTCACACAATCACCTGACCAGAACAAGGGCCCTTTCACAAGAGTTGTTATTTCTAGTAATTTATGGGGGTTCCAAATAGATTTTACTAAAAATAATAATGAAAAATGTTATTAAAAAATAATACGCTTCCAAAATTGAGTCACTGAATATTTATATCCCTCTGCAAGGCAAAGAAATTAAAATGAGCAATTTCTTATCAAGGCCATACAGTTAGGTCCTTTCTCTAATAATTTATCCCTGCAATAGGCCTTCGTATTAAAAATATACTCAAACACTTTTCCTCTGCTATCGTCCAAAATTTAACTGATATCTCAAAATCATAAACTGACATCGGCTTCAAATGTTTGCAAATAATAGGCAAGAGGAAGCCCTAACTGTTGACCTAGTCTGCCAACTCCTCCTTCATAGCACCAGTTACCACCTTCTTTCCCACACTCCAGGCTTCTCGCCCTCCACTCACCTTTCCTAACTTCTGTGTATGTCTGTCTTCTAAATCCTACACCACAACCGCCTCCTCCTCTCTCAACCAGGCTACTCCCCCATTTCTTACTTGGCCATTAGCAGGCCGGTTTTCTCAGAAGGAAACGGGAAGGAGGGGGCATGGGGGAAACAGGACCCAGAGATCCCTCAGGTCCCTGCCAGCTCCAACATTCTGTAATTACATGATTCCTTACCCTAACCACCTGGTCTCAGAAAAGAAAACAATTGACTGCCGTAAATCAGTCACTAATTAAAACCATATAAAATTTACCTTCCCCCACTTTAATATAAATGTTTCGTGCTATCTTGAGTTCAGTGAATGAAGTGACTGCTCCATACTCCTTTCGGGCCCAATTTAACAGATGTTCATTTCCATGTGGGAAGCTCCTTTCTTCTGTTTTTGCCGACAGTGAGAAGTTTCTGGATGAAAACTGGACCACAGAATTCTCAGACACCTAGAGGAAAGAGAATCGCATACTGAACGTGGTGCAGTCACCTGGAGCTGAATCATAACTAGCGAGCACTTACCAGATGATTAATGGATGTCTGTCAATCCAACCTCTCCCCTTTGTTATACTGGCAGAATATCTTTTTCCAAGCAGCTAACTGGAGAAATAACCTCAAGGCTACTTCTCCCTGCTACTGACAAAGCTACTAATGACGCAGGATGTCCCTCTGAATTTTTAAAGACCTTTGTGTTGACAGGCTTCAGAGTGCAGGATGAGCACCATATGAATTATCATTGCTATTTTCCAGATACCTAAACTGAAGGCCCATCTTCAAGTACTGTGCTTCAAGTCCAGCAGGAAGTCTTGGTAAGTCATGGGCTTGCTATGGGCCTCAGGACCAGGGCAAGCAATCCCACAGTCCTGCTAGCACTTGAACTTCACTTCCGAGTCTTCCACTGCTGCAGTATCACCACCTCAGGGACACAGCAAGAGTCCCTTCAGGTTATGTTCTCCTGAGCACGGAGATACAAAGAATGGCCAGATGCTGCCAGTCTTCTATTACATTACACTACTTCCTGACAGTGAGATGAATGTGTATCACAGTTTATTTTGTAAGACCCCCAAATTCCCACAGATAATGAAGTCAAGAGGCTGTTAGACTCAGCCTCATAAAACTTTCAGGATGATTTACGCACGTCCCAAACTCTTGCTGAATGTATTCAGACTGCCGCTGACCTAGCAAATGATGGTATATGTCATTAACTCACACAAAGGAATAAAATTATCACCTGGTTGCTGTACTATAATCAAATTTAGTTACTGGTGAAAATATGCATGCCGTTAACGGCTAGCATTTATAAAATTATTGATTTTATCAATGTCAAGGTGAAACCTCAAAATGTGAGCAAAATGAGTCACAAATTCCCATCATAAAACTATAAATGCCTTGTATTAAATTTCACAATAACTATTTATTATTAACAAAAACAAGCAGGTAAAAAAAGGTTAGAAACAGCCAGACTTTCAGGTTGAGGGCAAGAATTTTGCTTACGATTCTATAGCTTACAGCAGTGTTTTTGATCTTAACACACACACATACAAAGTAGTACTTAAGTATTGTGCTAGGCATTAATATTTTCTATTCAATTATATACATATATATTTTTTAAATGCTAACAAAGAAGTACTTCATCAAATTGATTCCATGACCTACTAATGCTGTGTCCCCTCTTGGCAGAAAGCTAGGAGCACCTAGGAGCTTCTAAATACCCTGAGGTGCAGGCCACATCCCAGGTCAATGAGAATGTTTGGGGTGGGACTCATGCATCAGAATATTTTAAAGCTCCCTGGCGATTTCAATGTTCATCCACAACTGAGAAGCCTCATCTTAATGGGCACTGAGGAATCCGGAATTTGAAAAACACTGTTACAGTCAGGCTCAGTGTGGGCACCTCACAGCTTCCTCTACGTCAGTGCTTCTTAGCGAGAGGCGATTTTATCCCTCAGGGGACTTTTGGCAAAGTCTGGAAACAGTTTTGATTGTCACAACTGAGAGAGAGGAGCTACTGACAGCTAGCACATAGAGACCAGGGGTGCTGCTAAACATCTTACAGCAATACACAGGGCAGAGCCCACAATGAAGAATTATCCAGATGTCCACAGTACTGTGACTGAGAACTCCTGGTCTATATACTTCAGACTGACTGATTGTTACTACCACTTGCACATCTGCTGGATCCCCAAACTGGGTCCCCAAATTAACAGCCCTTTCTATGCTGTTTAGTACTTAATAAAGAAGAAGAGAACCTTTCTGATTTGTATTGACTTGGGAAGCCCAGAACTCATCATTCATAATCTGACCGTAAACTATGACCAGTACCAGTAGTTATCATTTAATGAACGCCTACTATGTGTTAAGCACCACAAAGTGCTATCAAGTGTGGTAATGACATTTGCTAAATGTCCCAATGCCAGTTATAAACAAAACCAGTGGGTGCCACTTAGCTTCGGCCTTGTTTTGACATCGCCTGCATAAGAAAAAAAACCCCTGAGCCATATACCTGCCAAATAACAGCCAGGCCAACCTATGTATAAATCCTCTGAGGCTCAGCTACTCATCAACACACAACTTCAAACAATGTTTATCTGGTTTTCTGACTTAAGCACTGTAGTAAAATCTTCTTTACACTGAAAAGCACTTGTGTTAAAAAGTCATTTTTTATTAAGCCTGTCACCGAAAAAACCCACAACAGTCCAGAGGCCCTTGTCCCGCTGCCAGCACCGTTCTGAATGTTTAGGCAAGCATCCCTGGATGTTCTGTTCCTTTTGTTCTCATTCATGTTATGGCCATAAAATAAATCCCTTGGGCTTTAAATACGTTATACACAGAGTACATTTCTTCAGAGTGGAAGGTGGGATACGTCACCCTGGAACATTCCAGAGGCAAGAATGTGAACAGTGTCAGTAAGGGAACAGGGACCAATTCTGGAATGTGTCCTGAAGTAACTGAAAAGTGACAGCATGGTACAGCCGAGAAGGGGCAGCTCCTGGCTGATCCCTCCATGCACCATCAGCCCTGGTCAAGTCTGTCTTCTCCTGGGCCAGCAGCAGCGGGATCTCACATTCAGGGCTGAGGGATGTGGAAAAGGAGTTAACTTCCACTCCTCAGGCACATTCCAATAAGAAAGTAAAGCTGCCAGGAGCAGTGAAGTGTCCCTGACTGTAGGTCAGTGGAAATTTCCTGCTGCGGCAAGGGGTTAGTCAGCACTCCTGCTGACCACTAGTTCTGGCCCAGACAAAGCTGGATGCTGACAAAGCCCTCCCCCAACCCCCACCGAGCTTTAGAAGGTATTGTTATTCCCACCTGATCCTCGGGAAGACCTACGAGGTAATTTCCCTGGCAGAGAAGAGGAAATCTCAGAGAAGTTAATGGCCCACCCAAGATCAGGGAACAGCACCTGGGCAAGATCAGAATAGGAGACTTCAGACTCCTGGTCACAGGTGGCTTCTCCTTGAGCCCTTCCAGAAGAAGACCTTGCTAGCTCCCAAGGCAGAAGATTTCTGTTCTTACTTTCTGCCTGTAAGATTTGCCTTCCATCCACTTGTCTGAGCTGTGTCTTCCAGACCAAAGAATCCCTTCCTCTTTGCTCCATGAGAGAAGCCTTTGAATGTTTGAGGATGTCACTGGACCCTGCTCACGACTTCACTTCTTTAGGGTACTGTATGTAGCTGGCCCCCGGACACCATGGATGTCAGCTCTCCACCAGCAGAGCCTGAAATGTGGTGCCGGGGACAAGACTCAGGGTTTGGGTGTGGTCTGGCAAATGTACTGTGATGGTAAATTTTACATGTCAATTTGGGCCATCAGGTGCCCAGATATTTGGTCAAACACTAGTCTGACCAAACACCCATGAGGGTGTTTTTAATGGGATTAACATTTAAGTTGGTACATAAACAGCCCTTCCTAATGTGTGTGGACCTCATCCAATCACCTAAAGGCCTGCATAGAACAAAAGGCCGGCCCTTCCCCACAGTAAGAGAGAATTCTCCTGCCCAACTGCCTTTAAATTAGGACGGCAGCTCCTCCTGGTCCTACACAGTAGCCTGCTGGCCTTAGAACTCAAACTGCAACAGCAGCATTGCAGATTCTGGACTTGGTGGCCAATTTCCGACATAAATCTCCTTCTATATAATGGGCACACTGCATAAGGCCCATGATTACATCAGGCCCAAGGTCACATTAGCTTTTACATCAGCTGAATCCTGCTATTATCTCATGTTCATTATTTTATGCTTTAAACACCCAACAAATACTTATTGAGTGCCCATGCCCACCTCCTCTGTGCCAGGCACTGGGAATATAATTGAAAAGGCAAAAGATGAAAATTCCCCATCCTTGTGGAGTTTACAGTCTAGTAAGGAAGCCAGAGGAGCAAAATAAGTACAATATATAATATAGTAATCAGTGCTCTGGAGCAAAACAAATTGAGAGAAGAGGAGAGGGGTACTATACTTTTAAATGTGCTGGGCAAAGTCTAACTGAGAAAGTCCCTGAGCAGTTAGAGACCTGAAGGGAATAAAAGAGCAAACCATGCAGATATCAAGGGAAGAGCACTCATGGTGGACACAGCAGCAAGTGTAAAGGTTTGGTGCAGGGAAGGACAAGCAAGGAGGTCAGTGTAGCTGCAGCACAGGGGTGAGGGGGAGACGGGGTAGGAGAAAAGGTCAGCGAGCTCAGAGAGGACGCCGGCAGGTCCAACTGGACCTTGCAGACCATTGTGAAGGACTGGGGGACTTACGGGTGAGACGGGACACCACTGAGAGTGCATCCAAACACCTAAGAAATATTTTAACAAGATCACTTTGGCTGCCATGTCCAGTCTACACTGAAGAGAGACAGAACAGGAAACCAGTGGTCGACTTCTGGAATTACCCAGCGGGGAAACAGTGGCAGTCACACCAGGGAGGTGGTGGTGACGACGATGAGGCCTTTATTTTATTAGATGGAGCCTTTTCACATCCTTCCTTTACACCATATAAAGACAAAGGCTTATATCTATTCTTTAAATCTGTATTTCAAGTCTTTGGAGACCTGAGAAAAATCCTGATTCTGTTAGCTGTCAATATCTCCAAATTTCATGAGTACCTTCTACACGTTCAGCTACATCCCCGAGAAGCTGAACAAGACCAGGCTCAGTCCTGTGTCTTAACAGGCACACTCCTCCCACATTAAACAGCACTTGCTAGGGTCCCAGGTTGTTCAACTACAGGTTACCCCACGAACTGTCCTCCTCTTGTCTGTAAGAGCAACATGCTAGAACCTGTCAAGAGCCCTGCTGAATAAAGACATGATATATCAATGTCATTACTCTTCAGTCAAAGCTCTAGTCCTGCCTAATCTTCATGGTGTGGAAACCTCCCTCACTAGAGTCTGGCTTAGGTTAAAGTTTGTAGAAGAACACAGATGTAAAGAAATTAGCAAAAAACAGAAAGAGGGAAAATAATAT